TGCCGGCGGCGGTTGGAAGGGAACGGGCCAGCCCGTCCTCTTAAATCGGCATCGAAGCAGGGCGAGAGCCCTGCCAGACCCACTCCCGCGAGCTCTCGGCTCATCCCCCACGGGAACGGGTATTTCTGGGCTTCGCCCGGAGCTATTAAAAGCCCCGTGGGTGCCGGTGCTGCTGTGCTGCAGGAGGAGGTGGCGCTTCCAAGAGCTTCCCGGCACAAACACTCAGAGTGATGGGAACCCAAGTCCATCTTCAAACAACAGCCAAGGGGCCGGCAATGCCAAAAACCCACCCCAGGAAAGACCCCAAAGCACGCGGCCACGCTTCGGGGTGAGCAAACCGCCTTTGCATCCCCCAAGCAGCATTAATTCTTCCGCGGACAGGATAAAACTTTACCCATCGATAAAATATTCAGTGCATGCACAAGAATGTTTTTCCCCCCTTTTTCCCATGCCGCCGGCACGGCAAAGCCCACGGTCCCGGGCGAAGGGATGGCAAAATTTTTGGGGGGAAAATGCCGATTTGCTCGATAAGGGGTATGACATGGGGAATCCCAAGCAAAAGGACCATTTAAGCCCTCCCCGCTAAGGAAAAGGCAATTTTTGGTTCAGTATCTCGGGGCCGGCCAAGAGCACACCCGTTTACCGGGACCTTACACAGCAACGCCGGGAGATGCTTTATATAAATATAGTATATAATATGTATATCTATAAAACCACCTTCCACCAAAATTTGGTGCTATTTAACCTGAAAACTGCTCCTTCCCACCCAAAACCCACCTTTTTATTGGGGGGATCGCTCCTACAAACAAGAGCTCATCCCCTTGGGACCGCCGGAAAGGGCTGGGAAGGCTCTTGGCCACCCGGCAGCGCATCCGCAGGTGGGAATTTGTCCCCAACGAGGGACACGCAAGGGACCCCCAAAGCCACCAACGCTTTGGAGGGGTCACGTACCCCGTGAAACGAAGGTGTTTTTAGGATGGATGGGCACTTACCACCTGCGGCTTGGTCCTGGGGCCGTGTTCATTGGGTGGCCGTGGGCACCGGGGCAGCCGGGGCGGAGGGGCAGCGGGCGGAGAGCGGGGTCCATCCCCGGGACTGGAGGACGCGTCACCTGAGTTGAGGGCCAGCATGTACCGCTTGGTGACATCCTGCAGCGAAGGAGGTTGGAGGGTCGGGAAGGATTTGCCGGGTGAGCGGCTGGCAGCCGGCACGGGGAGGTGGTTGTGGTGGCCGGAGGAGACAAGCGGCTCGGGGACGGTGATGGGGACAAAGGTGGTGGGCTCACTGGTGTGACGGACGTGCTTGGTGGCTGGGCAGCTCTTGGCGAGGATGGCAGGCGCTGGCGGGGGGTGGGTTTTCCGGGGGGGCCCGCCGGTGGGGAGCTT